ATTTCAAAATCTATAGCTTTCATGACTTTTCTATCATCCAACCCGAAGCTGCTATGTTTTGTCCCACCGTTTTTAATGACGGATTTTCTCACACAGCTATCGTGTAATTCAGCGGTACTGAATGCGATACCGCATCACGTGCTTACGGGATTTATGACCTCGTTGTCGGCAAATCCAGCTCTGATAAATTCTATACCCGTTAACGTATTCGCATCAATTAAAAGCACGTTGTCTATTGGAAACTCGAACGCAATCACTTCAGGGACCGTCCTATCCGCCGGGTCACCAAGCACGGAAGTCATTGGTAGTCCGTCTCCATCGCCTTCGCCTGTATCACCTCCAGTGATCGCGGTCAAAGATAGTGCTTCTGCTTTTATAGCGCCAGCCGCCCAGCCTGCATCACCTACGGCCCTTCCACCTGTAATCGCGGTCAGTGACAGTGCTTCTGCTGTCATAGCGCCAGCCGCCCAGCCTGCATCACCTACGGCCCTTCCACCCGTAATCGCGGCCAGTGGCGAAGCTGCCGCCATCATAACACCGCCCGGCACGTCATCACAAAATTTGCCTGGTGTCTCTATTACAAAGGAAGTCGCCGCTTCTATATCGCCATCGCCTTCTCTTACGCCCTCTGCTCTAACGGCTGATGCAACCATCACTAAAGATATATCACCGCCAAATGCACATCTACCAGTAGGTGGACTTTCGGATGTTTCGGAGCCATGTAAAACAATCAAAATACCCTCAATAACATTACCGTCACTACCAAAACCTAACATTATTGAACCGGCATCGTTGTCAATTTTATCATCACTTTTCAATAAAGACGCAGGTAATAGTATATTAGAATCGAAAATCAAATCTATATTTAAATTATTAGCAAATGGTAACTTTAAGTTGCCAAAACTACATGTACCTATACCAGAAATAACGCATACAAGTAAACCTAAAATACTTGTTGTTTTACCATCCTCTCCATTAATAGGAAAACAAATCGAAACACCGCCCGCAAGCCTATCGAAACTTCACTATAAACCCGGATCATTAGATCAGATTCTTAATGTTTTTCATAAACGTTTACCTACTCTAGAACCAATTAGCTTGCCTAAACTACCTACGCCAACAAGTAATACTTTTAAATGTCTTCCGCTATTCCCAAAATTTCCTTGTTAATATTATATGATACATAATAGGCCAGCTTATTTTCCTTAAAAACACATCTTAATTTTAAATGTATTTATATTTTTTATATTCTATAATTATATTGTTGAATTCATTTACAAATTAATTATTAAATATTATTGCTTTTTATTTATTTTACATCATTATTATGTATTTATAATTTAGACTATTGTAATTATATACGTATAAAATATATAAGTATACATAATAAAATTAATAAAAACCATTTTTTAATGTATTTAATAATCAGCAGTTTTATTACGACAACAGTAATAATAATAACTATGTTAAATTATTTCATTAAACGTTGCATTTAGATATTTACTGTTTTATCTGTCCTATTCTTAGAATGTCTATTGAATTATTTGATTGTCACGCACTAACGTATATCGTCCGACGATAATGTAAAATATGCTGCAAGAAACAATCATTGAACTGGGAAAAGTATATGACACATCTAACACTAGACAACGTCACTGAGTACCTGAGTAAAGTATGGTTTACACGAAAAATAGATGAAGTAACATAAATAATTAGTTTAAATCTTATAGTATTTGTCCATCAGTTTATATGAAAATCAATAATATTTGAGATTATAGACAGTTATATTAAAATCAGTATTCGGCAGAATAACTGTAGTTTAACTAGTTTAAGACAGTTATATACAGTGGTGGAGTGAGAGAAAAAATCAGTTTAGGAAAATTGTAGCTCAATCGGCCTAAATTTAATTATAATCATACAGCGATATACTTAATTTAATATTAAATTGTTTTGTTTAAAATTCTTCATAATATTATATTTTATTTTTAATTCTTGTTTTAAATTAGATATTCCTATTTTCAAATCATAGTAATGATAATATTATAAGCTATAGTTAAAACAAAGATTTATAATACATAAATATTGTCTTATTGGTAGAATCATATTTATTATAACGTATATCTTAAATAAAAATTAATTTAAAATAAATATAGATCCCAACTCATTAACAATACAAAACAAGTGGAAATAAACATCGTATAAAGAAAGGTTCATTTGTACTTATATTTTTATAAATAAACAATATAGGTACATAATTAAAAAAATAAATATGATGTAAATTGAATTTCAAATAAATAATCTTTTGACTTTAATAATATCTCAAATGAATTTCTTTATCATCAATTATTGATAAGTTTTAATAATAAAAAGGATCTTTTACATACTACCTAAAAAAAAAAAACATTAATATTTAAGTTTTGATCATTCTAGATGATTAAAAAAAAAAAAAAACATTTAATTAAACAAATTATTGACACTAACCTAATGCATGGATAAGATGGATAAGTATTGATGAGCTTAAGACAAGCATAATGTAAATTATATTTTAAAAGAATATTATAACAGCATATTATACAATTTTTATACGACTCACGCTCTAATTTATTTATATCACTATTATTAGTTTTTCCACTGCCCTTTGGATCATACACAACATTACTTTCTTCTCTATGCATTTTAGTTATTTCTTATTATGATTATTTTAGCGTAATCTAATTTTTGCAAAAATTTTAAAATTTTTCTCTCAGTTTTTTTTTTTTTTTTTTTTGTCTAATGTAGTATTATGCCCTACGTGGTAGATAACAATTAGAACGTTGTTTATCCCTGATATAGTGTATCAGTGACAGCTTAATACTAAACGGTAGATTATGAAAAAATTTAGAATAATTTAAATGTTAATAATATTAAAGACAAGATTGAAGACACTTTATTATACTGAATAACATTTAATGTATATTAAAATTAAATGTTAGTATAATACATTTTATTTTATTGATGACCTAATAGCAATAAACGAAGCAAGCGATGAGATTAGACTGCTTTGACACATAACATTTTGATAATCGAAAAAAGTATTTCTCAATATTTTGAGTTTAATACAGCACATATAGGTAAAGAATCGTAACTCAATACAGTTGCGCCAAAAGATTTAACAACGAAGAACTGCCTGTTTTGTTTTGCTTATTTATTACTATTTTTCATTTATCATAATTGAAGTGAAAAAAGCCATTTGAATATTTTCAAAAATTAAATTCTCTCTTATAAAATAGACATAATATTATACCCAATACTAATATAATGTGTAAACTGTAGCTAGTAGGTATCTAAACATTCATTATATAATTTTAATTATGTATGTTAGAAAATGATTCCGGTTTGGACCTTTTCCATTATTAATTAATCATTTATAAATTTCATCACTTAATTTAATTATTTAATATTATGTAACAATTTAATTTAAGTTTATTATTAACTTTTGAGTTTTTATAAGTGATTATAACTTTAGAATTATTATTATAAATTTACTCGTGTCATATATTAATTATCATATAAATTTTACTTGTGCCAAATACGTCTATGTAGTATTTATCTTAATAAAATAAAATAGAATATTAAATTTAAATTTATTACTTAGACGGATTAATTGTTTACATTTTATTTTAAACAATTTTAAAGTTAGCAAAAATAATAATAAGGAGACTGTAACTTTTATATAATTATAAATGTTTTATATATCATCAAAATTATAAAAAATAAGGCTTTCTTAGAGAATTATAACATTTAGTTCACTATATGTATAATATATGATAATATAAATTATCAATCATCATTGATTATTAAACATACAAAATCTACTTAGATAATGAAAAAAAACCGAAATACTACTGTTATTATTACAAATCATATTTTTTACTAAACAATACATTTTCAATATCTAGAATATGATATACATATATATTATCATGTATTTTTGGTAGGTATATTTTCAAAATTAAAAAACTTTCTATTAAAGATTAATTATTTGTAATCTGCAGGTTTAAGCTTTCCAACATACCTTTCAGAATAAATGTTGGGACGAATGCTCTTGACTGGCATAAAATACCAAGTTTCTTTGCGTCCCTTCGACCCGTTTTATGCACAACAGATAACAATAAAATACTATTGATTTATGTTTATTCTTTATGGTTATTATAGGGTAAATATTTCTCAGCATACACAACGTATGTTTAATTCTCAAAATTCTACCTTATTTTCAATCAAAATAAATATGATGTGAAATGTTTCGAACGCAATTATTGTTTACATATTATAACACAATTAAAAAACAAACTATTTACGTTAAATTAATGTATACAATTGATAAACTAAATTGAAATTTGTGAATGATTATTAACAGTTGGGTTTAATTTTAATTCTTTCAAACAACTTACTTATTAAGACTAGTATTTATTGTAGTTTGCTTATCGTTGCAGTTATAATATTACAAGCAATAATTAGTCACACATGTCATGTACGAATATGGAAAACATCGTCGAAAATTAGCTACAATAACGGTAGACCGTTAAATTGTTATCTACGAACTGGGAAAAATACTATTTTACTATAGTATAAGTTATATTGTTATAATATATACGTGGTACACATGAAATAAACGACTACTGGCGTTCAGATTGACTTATCTTTAGTTGATATTGTGTCCAGAATAACGTAATAGTATGGCTGTTATAAGTATGCAGTATGCACCTACTTTATATCATAGAAACCAAGAGATTATATATTATTATTCATATAGCAGACGCAGTCTAATCGTTGAACTACATGCTCACATTAGTATTAAGTATATTTTATGAACACAAATAAATATGAAATGGTTCAAAGTCATTTCGACACCGTGTATATTGGTATTCGTGAGTCTTTCGTACTTTACGGTATGTATAATAATTTATTTTTCAAACATCAAGTTATAGATTCTCACAATTAGATGATAGAACGTTAGAAAAAGCGAGTAGGTATAATAGCATATTTTTTCAGAATTCGCCTTTTTTTTTTTTTATTACAGATTAATGAATTTTGGGAGGTTTTTTTTAACGTAAACAAGTTTTTTATGATAAATTGTATAATTATAATTATAATATAATAATTTCTCCGTTTCAGAAGAAATAAATACATTTGTTAATGTTTAAAACACTAAAATTTTAATTAGATGAATTATCTTAACTGTTTTTAAAAATCAAAAACATAACTTTTATTAAGTCAAGTTATTAAACTATCATTATTTATTTTTATTTATAATGTTTAGAATCTTTAAAAAAAAAAATGTTTACAACTGACAAAATTGATATCCTTATTGTTAGATGACATGTATAAATGAGTGAATGGATTATCAATTGGGTAATTTTATTTCATTTATTAAGGAAAAAAATAATAATCTTGTAGTGAGAATGTGATACCTTCATGTGTTGTTTCCGTTTTACAAACGTACAACATATCAAATTTGCGTTTAGCAGAATTAATGTTCTTTCGATAGTCTTAATATTATAGTAAACTTATTTTTTATCAAATTTAGAGATGAAAATTTTAGTTGTAAGTATGTTAAATATTAAAATATTTAATAATAATTTTAACACATTTTAAAATAAAAATAAAAAGAGAACACAAGTCATACTCCTAACTATAAATTTTATAAAAGTTCAATGTACTGTAATATTAGAAATAACAAAACAAAATTAATTTGACTGAACGCAGATTTGTCATGTAAGGTGGAGATAATATAAACGTAGAAATTATGTACTCTTAATAGTGAATTTTTGTGGCTTGGCGTGGCGCGTTGGCTGCTACCAGTCGCGGAATGCGACTGAGAGTAAGTAACGGCCACAGCTACTAGCTCCCGGATGGGTGACCACTCGGGATCATAGTGGTTAAAAACCTTGCCACACATACACGTGTTTGCTATCAACCGTAACAATCATAAAAAATACAACCTACCGTACCAACCTACAACGTAACCCTTACAAACAGCTAATGGCCCTAGTTGCCGGGCTTAAGTTCAATAAAAAAAAATAGTGAATTTTAATATTATATAATAGGTACTATACAAATTAGTATTTTGTGTAACGTAAATTATTTTTATTTAAATTTATAATTATTAATTACACAGCATATACGTGACTGTTTAAAAAAATTTTGTAAGTTCCTTTAAACTATTTTTTTAATTTTTTTTTTTTTAATAATTATAAAAATGTATGTTAATTTAACTGTAATCGAATTAAAATCATACGATTATGTCTAAAAAATATATTTTCCGTTGAAGTTGAAAAGATTCATAAATTAATTATTAAATTGACCTATTAAATTGTCTAACTATTAAATACTTAATATTTTATTGAATATTTTGATGTATCATTTTTTTGCTAAGAATATTGGACAAAAAACTTCCATGTATAATCAGATAATTACACTTTTAAATAATTAAGTATTAAATAACTAAGATAGTTATTTGTTTTCTATGTTTCTATTTTCTATTCGAGCATCGAATATAAATATGTAGTAAGTAATAATTGATAAATCGTTTGTTATTGTAGCAATGCTCCGGAGCTCCTCCAATAACGCCTTCACGGTCTTTGGTACATAACACAACTAAGCCGATATTTAGCTCGAAGTGTGCACCTCTGGTTCGGTGCGTGACACCAAAATCGAAAGTATTTCCTGCTACTACTGCAGTCGCCGCTGCATTAGCCGATTTCCTGAAGACTGTCGCCGGGTCATCCGACAAGCACAAAGAACGGCCGACTACGCTGCATCAGTTTCCGGACTTTCTACGAACTTTTGTTCGGTTCATCGGAATCGTCGCTTTACAGCCATCACCATCATCACCACCAACACCACCGACAACCTCACCAATATCAGATGAAAGCGATAAATACACTACAACTTTGACAACGGCCACAACCCCGTCATCCCCGATAACCACCTGTCCACCGTCGAATTCTGGGTCATTGAAAAAACTGATGTCTCTTTTCGTTCCAGAATTTTCCATTCCATCATCGACCGCTCGGCCATCGTCGAACGTGTTACCAAAACTGTTCCAAAAAGCCGATTCATATCATGAACCAACATAAAAAAAAAAAAAAAAAAACTTAGTCGTCTATACTACCATTTACTTAATTTTTTGTTATGATTACACTATTAGTTTTTTTGTAATGTTCACTTCAATTTTATTATTAGGTAAATATTAAAAATAATATAATATATACTTTTTCATGACTATTTTTGTGAAAATTCAAAATCGTTTTGAATGGCTTAACGGAAAACAACTAAACTAATACCATACACATAATGTCATATTTACATTTTATGTATTAAATATTTAAATGGCTATATTATTTTAATAGAAGTATTATCAATTATGTTTAAAAATGTAAAAATATGTTTATTGATATGTTGAGTAGCAAAATTAGTGTACATTAGTCTGTGAATATGTTACGAAATAATATATATCTAGTGGTGTAAAATTACTGTTATAAGTACATACATAACTAAAAAACCTTAAAATACATTCCTGAATATTCATTAATTTTAGGTTATTTAATCGACAACCATGGTTAAAATGTTAACTTAATATAATTTATTATAATCGTATGAAATAATGATAATTTTATTGTTAACACTATTATATCGACTACAATTTTAAACATATTATTTTAAGATAATATAACCATCACGATCAATAAGAATGTGCTTTAATGACTTGTGAAATAAAATATTGTTACAACATATTAGCTATGCATTAGCTATGTATTTTACTGTTTTTGTTTAAAATATGTTTTCTACTGCTATTATTTATAAATTGCATTGGTGTATTACTCTTATACATTTAATAGGCGTGACTGTGTGAGCATTTTATTCATATAATATTATAACTAATAATAAAATATAAATTTATTAAGAATAAGAATCAAACTACGAGTATGTAAAAATTATGCGTCTACAGTTCCATAAAATGTAGGTACCTAATTCACGCCACTGCAATAATAGCACGGTGTAGCAGAGTTTAATGAAATAAATATAGATAATTGATATTACAATGATGTATTATTTTTTTAATGGTATGATGAATTTATTGATTTTATAATAATATGTTTTTTATGATTTTTGTGTCTGTCGTTATCTTTAGGAACAGTAAAACTTGATTCAATCTTAAATTCTAATATACATATTTTCTGGTAAGAAAAAAGTTCTAGTTGAATTTAGACAACTTCTAAATACCTTAACATTTCTTAATAACTATGTGGGTAAAAAGAAGGAATAAAAAGGCATTTTTACGTAAAACTAGTTTTAGACATATTTATTTATTTATTATATTATTGAAATAAATTAGCATACATAAACGAAAATTAAATTTATATTTTATATTTATGATCTTATTTTTAAAGTATATAGATTATTTGTGAGTTATTATTATAATAATTATTTTATTTTTAGTGAAAAAGTTTAAACATTTTACACAAAGTTCATCTTAAGTTCTTCTAGAGTTTAAAAAAAAATTGAGTGTTATTGCAAAAATATTACTTATATGAACTTTAGAGTTTAAATTTTGACAAATTAATTATTATTTATGTAAAAACTTATGATTTATTATCAAATTATTTAAACTGTTTTAATACGATTTAAAGAGTAGGTATTAATCGTAGAAACTTAAAGAATTCCATTAAAAGTTAACAAGTTAACAATTTTTACACTCAATACATTTTTTTAAATATTTAGATTAAATTATAAGTAATAAACATTAAACTAACTATTTATAAGTATCTACATTTTAGTTTTTAAGCAAGTTTAAACTTTGATAAAATATATAATATAATTAATAATACAAGTAAATCGACAGACTTTTCACCTAGATTCGAATTTCGTTTGTAATGAATAATAATTATCGTTTAATTAAATTTAACAGATGAGCCATTATAGAAATCTACTCTTAATAACGAAGTTCACTTAATTCCAATTGTAGGTAAACTACATTGTTACGTATATAATTTTTTTTTTTTTTTTTAAATTGATTTTTGGTGTTTTTGTACTTATTACTGTATTTTAGAAGTAAACATATTATATCAATTTCACACTTTTGGCGTGATTTTGGAAGAAAATCGAATCTCAAAAAAAAAAAAAAAAATGAAATAAAACGGTCATCTTAGAGTAAAATCAATTAAAAGTTCAAATAGATTGTACTATTTTACGATATTTAAAAATAATTTATCGTAAAAACATTAAATTTTTACCAAATGCTCATATAACCATTTACTAGAAATTATATAACAATCTTTTTTTAGTACATTATGTTAAAATATTTACAACATTAGATGTCCAAATACGTAAAATAAATATTTCTTATTAAACGGTTTTTGATATTTTCTAAAAAATAATAGTAGATATTTCTGTTTCTATTATATTACGAGAATTGAAGCTGATGACATCTCACTATCACGAAAATTATAATTGTTTATACTCAATTGTACCCATAGGCATTTTAAATATCATGGTGACGTTCATGGCTTTTGTAATATTAAAGCTATATATTAATATATTTAAAACTTGAAATACACAATATTTTATAAAATGTAATATATGATACATCAATGTAATTAACCTTTAAGTAAATTGAATCATGATGATCTATAATTTTTTAATTTAATATTATGAATTAATAATAAGATATAAATAAATAATCGACAAAGATAAATTTAATGTGTTGAAATATTTATTTTTATTAACCGATATAATACATATATATATATATATATAATTGTTTTTAGACTATAACATTTTTAATGTATATTGAGCATTATTTATAAACTGAAAAAATTTTAAATATCTGTATTGATTAGTAACATAATTGCAATATAGACAAATTCGTATTAACAGTAGCAAGGTGGAGATAATGGTGGAGAAGGCGGACATAATGGTGGAATAGAGAAATAAGGTAGAGGTGCTAGAGGAACTGGTATTAACGCTGGTGGTGGTGCACAAGGAAGTGGGCTTGGTGGGAGTGGGAGAGGAAGTGGTAATGGCGGGAGTGGTAAGCAAGGTGGTGGAAGCGGTAGGTGGAAGCGGTAATGGTGGTAGTGGTAAACATGGTGGCGGCGGTGGGGGAAGGAAGCATGGCGGTGGTGGTGGTGTTAAGCAAGGAAGTGGAAGAGGAAGTGGGAGTGGGAGAGGAAGTGGTAATGGCGGGAGTGGTA